AGTGCTAATAGTCTAAATTTTACTTCAATATGAGCGTCGTGATGAAGTCAAGTGCATTTTCACTAAAATTTGATATAGCACACTTTAAATTTAAAATTTTTCATAGTAAAAGCTTCCAATTATGAAAGATGCAAAACTATCTTTAGCTAGAAATGTTAAATGTGTGCCAATACGAAAGTGTTAGATTCATTAATTCTGCAGTATGTTCTACTGAGGATTCAGATATCCAATTGTAAACTAAACCATAATTGCAGGGAAGTAGCACACAATTGACATCCGGATTGTTACAGAGCTGTTAACATAGCCACGCAGTAGTGTTGAAATACAACATTTTGGCAAAAATGTATTTGAAGAGAAAAGAATCATTCAAGGTCTTGCATTGAAAGTCAGTTCTTATAGCAGTTTTACAAATAAACTTGATTTAATGACTAACTTAGAGTTCGCTGTGCTAACTTTCGAATTCAAAGCACATCAAGTTTGAAGAGTCACTACTACATCGGAGAAGATAGTTGGAAATAAATCTGCCTAAATACCGTGATGGAGTATGAGTATAAAAAGCATGAAACAAACACCGCAAAAATGTGAGCTATATTTCTAACAACAAGCAGATTCACTAACTCATAAAAGTAAGATCAAACCATTTGCGAATGCTTCAGCGTATTCCTTCAAGATTCTATAAGCAATCAATAATTGTCTTTTACAGTTAAAAAGAATTTTTTAAAAGAATGTCATGTTATACTGTTCAAATTTTCTCGATAAAAAACCTATAAAGTGCAATGACAGTACTAAATTTCGTAGAAGCTTCTGAAAAATAAATGAAATTTATTCTATTTTGTATGAAACAACTTTTTTTTTTCATTTAAAAAGAAAAAAAAAACTAAAATTTGAGAAACAGGATGAATCATTGAAAGCAATATCTCAGTTAAAAAAAATTTTTCAGAATATGTGAATAAATATTGTTACATATAAACGACATGTTACACTACAACTATTTTTTTATTAATAAATTTTTAATCGTAAAAAACGCGACAGTCAATAAAACATAGCATTTTAAATATAAATCACATCCGTTTTCTGTTTTTTCTGAAAAGAAAAATTTCTGAATTGGGTAAAGAACTGGACAAAATCTAATGAATTCACATTTTCATTAAAATAAGGTTTGCGACGCGATTCAATGCACTCGTAACGTACATGTCAGACAGCTATATTAGAAAAGATCTTTCACTCATAAAATTTATTGGGACTGATATTTAATATTTGGGATGGAGAGTCCACTACTGCTACAGTTTAATCTACAGAATTTCCTAATCAGTCCTGAAATTCCCAAGTTATATGTCAGCTTGCTAATTCAACTTATATAACTCATTTAAGTTCTCTTATACAATATATTTCCGAAAAGCCATTAGAGTCGTTTTGAACTATTCTTACTTTGATAGCACAGAATTATCTTCTTATCTGCTCAGGAAATAGCTGAAAATGAGCAGGAACTTGAAGAAAATAAGGAAATGATTGCTTCTTCAACAACAAATCAAAGTTTTTTTATACAACTTTCAAAACAACTCGCAATCTTTCAAAATGCTACCTCTCCGTGAAAATTTAAACTTTTTAAAAACAAAATCGACTTCATAACTATAAGTTAACTTGATCTGAGTTCGAAAATGAATATAATGGGAAAATACCACTAGAAATATATTAAAGCGGAAGACCTAAAATCATTTACTTAGTTAACTATTAATTCTAACAACTCTACTCCTTGCAAATTATTATCTCCCATTTACTTTTTTACATTTGAAATGAAAAAGAATTTAATGATGTTATTTGAATTTATGATTGAGTAAGGGTTGTAATGACAAAATGATTACAAAATAAAAAGCAAGGATGACTGAAACGAGAATAATACAAAGAGAATTTTTTACATTAGGAGATTTCAATACAAAAATACAAAAGACAACAATGAATCGGAGAACATTTGTATTTCGCCGAAAAGATTAAGTGTCAACATTTTGAAAATTAAAAAAGTGTAGAATATACGCTTCAAAGAGTAACGCATGTATATCACTATTATATAGATGAGCTAACAACCAAAGGCTAGAAATAAGGAAGGGACAATGATCTTACAGATCATTAAAATCTACAAACGAATTATACCATGTTGGAAATGATATGCACTATCTTTAAATATATCACCGATTTGATTAAACCGTCGTAGGTCATTCTAAAATCTGTTTGTAAAGTAATGTAAAAGATTGATTTAGACATTTGATTCGGCTCAGCACTGTCTCTAGTTTATTAAGCGATAAACAGAAAAGAGATTCGGTTCAACATAATGTTACCAGAGTTAGAGAGTTACATCAGCAATACATTTATTTGACTTTATTTTTTTGGCCAATACCTTCATAAATCCTATTAACCTTATTAACAAAAAAAGAAAAATTAAAATAAAATAAAGACTATCGGAATGTTCTAGGTCTGTACTGTTTATTTCTTTGCCAAATTTCATAATAAAAGTTATGCCCCGTTTCATAAATCACACACCCGATATGAGAAAAAAATTCGAAGAGTTTTCGGATTCCTCTCTTCATCGCCTTGAAACTTTTCTGATCAATTGACAAAGCATTTTTTCTAATCAATATTTCGGTGAAAGTTATTTTGTGAAAAAAAATCATGCCCTCTGAAAATTAGATGTTTAGAACAGGGCTTTAAGAAGAAACGAAGTTGATCTTTCTTCAATGTAGCGTCTTCCTGAAAATCATATTTTCCGAAAGAGTAAATGAGAACCAAGTGATTTTATTGTGAATTCAAATTCATCTACTACCTGATAAAAATTGTACCTGGATCATATCATATATTAAAAATTTTAGGTCTACAGCTAAGATCAAATTATTGCATTTGCTCACTCAGATGACGAAGCAATTAAATGTGAAATTGCTGTCGCGAATGATAAATTCGCGAAACTCTAACCAAAATAATAAAATAAATTTAAAGGAATCAATAAATAATTTGTCGTGAAAAGTTAGTCGTTGGTTAAGGATACACAAGAATTTTGAAGACTTACTTCAATGTAGAAAAAGCCGTCCGTAAAGTTAAAGGTAATTGTCGTCAGATGCGCGAATATTCATAATACAGCAGCGAAATTATCGTAAGTTTATTCTTATAAAACGTAATATCAATAATCTGAGCAGTAAAAATAGATTTAGAAATTGGAGAAAGGTCAGTTGTTTTGGAAGAAAAGGAAATTGAGTTTGGTTATGACCACTGCAGTTAACAATATTAACCTTGTTTATTACTATTGTACTGTAAAAATTGGCGTTTAATAAGATAAGACCATAGGAACCAAGAATTGGAGGTGATTACAATAAGATCGTATAGACAAAGGATTAAGCACACATATGATACAATCATATGTGTTTAAAAAGAATCATATACTGAATTTAAAAGAAGAGATTATGACGAGAGTTAATTTTACAATAAACAAATTCCATATGAGTAATAAATCTTAAGGAGTTAAATTTATGGCGAGATAATTTATGATACTAAAAGGTTGTTTACAGTTAGAAATGATTTTGTTAATTATGCCTTTAAATTTATTTTATTATTTTGATTAGAGTTTCGCGAAATTATCATTCGCGACACTCCAAAATGGGGAGAAGAAAAGGGGATTTAATGTGAATTTTCAATTGAGTAATTTTCAGGTATGTGGCGACAAATATAAAGTTTAATAGCTGGGATTTCTTTTTTAGTTATAAATTGAGTTTGTGGTGATTCTACAGGGAGGGTAAGAATAATAGTTTCATTTGAACTTCGTTTAGAAGAAGTACAGAACAAGGATTGGAGTAATTTGAGCAATTTGAACTTTAAGAATAACTGAAACAATTAATATCGTTATAACAATAACACAACTAATAATCAGTTTCCAATGCATTATCACATCTTCAAATTCTTTTCAAATTCAAAATTTAACGGAAGCATTCTACCTATCAATAAAACGATTCCGTTAAACTCATTTCCCAGTTGTTTTATAATTTTTTATCCTTCTTCAGAAATTTCTTGCCAAAAAGATTCATCCCTCACTTGAATTGATTGTTTCATAATTATGAGCTAGGATTTCTAATTCTGCGTTAATTTCTTCAATTTCAAACTTACTTATTAAACTCCTTTTGAATTCGATATTTTTGATTGCTAGTCGAGTAGACTTGCAAGGTACTACCATCAAATTTCCATCAACTCTTTTAGCTATCACATCGTTTCTTTGAAACATTAATCTCGCTGCAAGGATAGAATTGCTAATTGATAACCATTCGACCAATAATAATAGGTTATTTCTGTTCTGGCAACTTCTTTGATATGTTTTTTTAAGTTGCTGAAGAAATTCTTGAAATAATGAATCGAAAAGATATTGAAATTTTATGTCCTTGGGATCAAATGCTTTAACAGGAGAATTTTCCATCAAAACTAATTTCCTCGCTTGATTTTTGTAGCAAAGTTCACGTCATTTCCAACATCTGTATCAAGAATATATCACCTTGCATTAGGAATGGAAAGGTAAATCTACAATTTTTCATGTTTATTATGTTGGATTTTTCACTAATTATAAGTGACACTTGTAGTTCATCATTGACAAAATGATTGTTATACCTTGTAGCACTAATTCTTCCAATTCTTCGATATAGACAGTGGTTGATTGTATCGTACTATTCCATAGAATAATGGTAATATTTGTTATACATTTTCCCTTTTGTGTATATAATTTTTTATATCATCAAGGTTAGAGACTAACCCTCTTCTATCATACAAGAGAATTTCTCCTTGGATCAGTATGAAATTTTGATATATATGCATTTGACTCCTAACCATCCATAGGTGTATTGTTAACCATTTGTTGGGAGAAGATTGAATTAATCCAATTCCATCCATTTGTTTTCGAACATTTAAATATTTGTAAAATTGTGAGGATGTTGCAATAGCAGATATGGTCTGATACTACCGATAGTCTCAAACTATCACTATAAAGTTTTCGCACATAGTGTTCGTGTACATTTTATAGCTGGTTTTCGTATATGAAAAAATATAACTGAAATCCAATTGCAGTTATTGATAGCTATCACATGTTTTGATATTAAAGACATTAGTGTTATTAACAATAAAGTCTTCATCGAAAAATTGGACTTACTCTTGATTCAGCAGATGTTTGCAGCCTTTTGCACTTCTGGTTCGTCTGAAAGGTTCTTCTTCCACTTTATCTTCTATGTCTTCGGAAGCATCTATTTCCATAGAATAAAGTATATTTCTTAATCGATCAATTTGTTTTCCAATTGGCAGTTGTATTGCTGCACTTCTTCCGTCCCACACCACGAGGTATTTTTGGTTCATTTAATAATACTATCTCATTTTCATGTGGTATTCTTTTTTCTACTCTTCTAGGAGATACTAATTTCTTTTGGGTACGTTCTCTAAGACATATAAGGCATTCATCTTTCCACAACTTCCAAAAGACATCTAATATGGTTAGAGTATGAATATAGTTGATCCATTAATATTTATTAGTATAAATGGAGAATTGAATTATGTTATAGGCGGTTGATTAAATTCTTCAATCGTTCAACGCATAATCATAATTATTGCTTAATTTTTGTTTGGAGTCTTTCCAAGGTCAACATACTTGATATCTTCCACACTGCTTGATGATAGTTCGTTTGAAATGCTTTAAAGCTTGATCATTACCGTCAGCTTAAGGTGATTCATGTATACCAATCATTTCTAACTTCCAAAAATTTGCTAATTCTGAATTAATATTGGCATTTGTAGATTATATTACCTCCTTAGGATAAAATTGTTCTTACAAAATATGTTAATGTCGCCACTTTCAACAGTCATAGGACCAACTTTTCATTGTAATAATACATGTCCTGATTTTATTTCCTTGATTTCTTGTAGATTAATAAATTTGACGAAAAAATCAATTCTAATCAATACATCGAGTTTTTCCAATAATCTGTTAAATTTGAAATTTGAAGTTCACTTGATGTCTCCACTAATTGCAATTAGTTTTTTAAATAATCAACTATATTCGGATGTAATGGTATGAGCACGGTTAATTGTATGCGATCAGCGGGACGCATTTCGGTTCCTTCATACCAAATGGAGCTATCTTCATAATTAATTTTTTTTTCTAATGTGATTATTTTTTTACTTCCTGACTCAGTTAATTTTAATTGATGTGATTATTTTTTGGAAATGAAAGATAGTTGTGAGTCTATGTCAAATAATGCCAAGGCATTTTGTTGTTGTTGAGGTTGTGATGGCTTAAAGACCTTTATCTCCTTACATAAAAGTAAAGTTTCCTTTTTCCTTTTGTATAGAGTTGTGTATGTCGATCGCTCTTCTTTTCTTTGATACAGTATGTTATTCAAAGAAAGTGAATTTCTTTTATCATACAAAGCACTATTATGTAACGCTCTGCAATAAAAGCATTTTTTCTTGACTTTACAAATTTCTCCTTTGTGACACATAGTAGATTTCTCTAGTGCCTTAAAAGCGATTCATCGAGTGTTGAGAGTAGTGCAGATTTTGCAGTCACTATCCCAATGATGTTGTGCGCAGAATACACATCGTCTTATTTTCTTTGTTGTAATTTTTAAGAAATTCTGATTGCTATTTATTATCGACAATGTTGGAATTCTAGGTTTGTATCGTGCCCAGATTTAGCGATTGTTTAATATTGGTCTGAGTGAATGAATGTTGACAGTTTCTAATCTGCTCATTCGCATTAACTAAGTTTATTAAAAAGTTTCTTAATTTTAGAACTGACCAATATCCTTCTTCTTTTGCTTATATATTTTATTTAATATCCATGATGGTAATTCACTCTCGATCAAAATTTCGATATTTGAATGTTCTAGGCTTTCTCCTAACCTCTAACTGGCGTATCACTCGTTCTATGTTTTCAATAGTTCCAACCCATTCTTTTTCATTTCTTTTAATGTATTGGAGTTCATTATATAATAATATCGTTACCATTGAATGATCGCCATCTTTTTCATTGAGCAGTCGTCTTATAACTTCATAATTCTCCAGTGCTATATCGTATCCAGATATTACTTTTAAAGCTTTTCTTTGAGGCATGAGTACAAATAATTCAATTCTTGAACCATTAAATTTATTTCTTTAAAGGGATTGACTAACCTTTCTTTTGCCGGTTAGATGGTTGCAATAATGTTGTTAGGCATGATTCCCAGCTCATGACATCAATTGTTTCCAAAAGCTAAAATGAAAAATGATTGGAGAATAAAACTAAGGAACTTCTACCCCAGGATTTCCTGGTTACAAAAGTCTTGACTTATTGTATGTAACGTTGGACTCACATTCATTTTTTCGTATTCCAAAAAGCTTTCATTGACATAAAAAGCAAAAATTTGCGCATTACAAGTTTCGTGGTAGAAGTTGTCACTATGAATCTTTTTAACGAGTATGTTTGTTAGGCATTTCCTACAGGTTTCATTTTATTGAGCTAGACTGTTGCTGAAACTTCGGGAAAAATGACGTGATGAGTCAGATTTTATCTTATTACTTACAGATGTTATACGTCATCTGCTATTCTGTTGTTATTTCCTATTATTATTTTTTTCTGTTTTTATAGTATACTGCTTAAATAGAGACTATCAACTTTTTTAAACTCAAAGATCACATTTCAACTTTTTTAAATAGTTAAAATTCTCAGTTACGACATAATTTTTCATTTCTTAAAATCCTCAAAATACGCAAAAGACCTCCTGCACAGTGTGGTTGGGGTACTAAAGTGGTTTGCATGACAACATAATGCGCAATGTTAAGGGAGACATTCTAACTTCAGTCATAAGTCAATACGAATAATACGAATCTAAAAAATTTTCCAGTTCTCATAGTTTGTTTAACATTGCAATCCTCTGAGTCTTTTTTTTTGCATATTTTCCATGCACTGATGTGCTTCACGTCCATAAAAACAAGAGACATACTTCCCACTGCTTCGTCACCAAATTCCGAACTGTCAGCTTGAACAAATCTTTTCCATTCTCTTCGACATAAATCTAAAGTTGATATTCCTCTCTCTGACTCAGTAATATTGAAACTGTCATTGTTATTTCGTCAAGATAATTGCTTTGATAATACTGACAAAACTGTTGAAGAATCATCTATGATTGCGTAGTTCAAGTCAGTGCCAAAATTTCTTGCTGAAGAAATAAGAACACTTTGTTATGGTATCACATAATATAAGCTTCCAGTACTCTGTACATATAGGTAATACTGAACAACCACCCTTCACGACCACATTCAAACATTCTATCATCAGACTAGCAATGAGACGAAATTTACATCTTGAAACACATCCATTTGTAAGATGAAATTTACATTCTAAAATTCATTCATACGTAACCTGAATTTCTATCTTAAAATTCGAAAGTTTCTGGCTAGCTCTGAATTAACTGGCCGTGTAATGATTTACGTGGTAATGGCGTATTGTATGGTTTCTGAGTGTAGAATTCTCTTGTGCAAATAAATCCGTTAAAATTTTCAGGTCTATAACGACTTAGTCAATATGGGAGAGAGTTTTATTCGTGCCAAAATGCTTAAGGATGCAGCGGAAGGCGATATTTATGAAGAACAAAATAATGCCGCCTATATGGAAAATATTTATGTATTGGAACGTACCGACCAAATCACAGAATTGCAAACCATCATAATGGACAGGTTGTATCAACAATTTCAATAAGTGATTTATACCGTTTTCATATTCAGAATATCGGAGAAATAACTCATAAAAGCCGGATCTGAGTTGTGAATTTCCGTACAGATTTTCTTTCGAATTAAATTACTATTCAGGAGGAAAACAAAATTTTTTTATGCAGAAAATTTTAGGGAAACGAGTCATTCAGATTTCGTATTCTATGTCGATCGTTTGATTAGGTTGGTAGTTGAGGAGGGTCTGAACCGACTGCCTTACACAAACATTGAAATAGAAACTCCAGCACGTGTGAAGTATAAAGGTATTGCCTTTAGTCGAGGGAATTGCGGTGTTTCGATATGTCGAGGAGGTGAGGCGATGGAACAAGCTTTGCGGCAATGTTGCAGGTTCTAAATAAGTTTTTAATAATTCGAATGTTCATGCGATTATTCAGATTGCTATTGTTTTCTTGTCGGATAATTCAATCTGGATTGGTCTGTGTGAAATTAATCTCATAGTGAGAAAATTTTTCTCATGGGATTAGATTTCCTAGGAATGATGTTTGTTTACTAAAAGCCAAATGTTAATAGCTTATCCAGGAATGTGAGGGATGGTTTAATAATAACCAGGTTTGGAAGGTTTCGAATAGCCATGTTAGAAATATAGGTCGGTAATATATCATTGACGATACAACTGCGATGTTTAAAAATTCAATAAAATAACCAAATTTTAACTTATAAAAATACACTTTTATGCACTTTTTCAGCATCTCTGAAGAGTAAAGGAAAAAAAAATTAATAGCAGAGAGCGAAAGCACGCCATTCCAAACATAGTTTTTTCTGCTAATATTTCTCATGTTATAGTAATTCATATCAGTTTTGTCTCAGATCGGTTCGGATTGGTAAAATGTTGGTAGGTGACGACACAAGATTGTTATATGCTCGATTGATGCCAGATATCAAGCATCGAAGAGTACTACTTCTGTATCCATTACTCAGTCAGTTGTATGAACATCTTGTTATTTCAGATGCATCGAGCACGAACTCATTCATATAAGATTGAAACGAAACACCTTCGTATTTTGTAGATTTTCGTGAAAACATAAGTTGAAGATTCTCATATACATCCGATTCAGTTGTTGATCGCTGCATGAACCTAAACTAATTGGAGAAATAACTTTCTTTCGGAAATAGAAGACCAAAATGAAACTTGTACAATGGAAACCTTACTTAAAATTCATCTTTTAAAGCTAAAATCCATGATATAATACTTCATTCCTGATTTAGAGGCTCATCACTAGTCATCTTCTTTCGATGTTCTCCAGGTCTTTTATTTCAGGCACAGGTGCCACGGTGATCAAGGCAGTGTCAGTATTAGTAGAAAATGGTGTAGTTGAAGGGAACATTTTACTGTTGACTTTATTTGCAGCACCTGCCGGTGAGTTTTGCAAATGTTGAAATTCGAAAGCCATGTTTATGATGTAAACGTTTGACTTTAATTCCTTTGAAAGCACTCTCAATGTCAATTTTTCTTGTTTTCTCGTTGAATATCTGATGAAGAAAACATAACTTCAATTTGCAGGCATTAAGCAAGTCATGAGTCACTTCCCGAAAATATCCATACTCACGAGTGACATCAGCCCATTAATACCGTTCTGGTTTACAACCAAATATTTTGGTACCGATTAAACCAATCTTTACAATTCATTTGAGTGCAAAGTGTAAATATGATACGCCCTCTGCGTCTTTCCAAATTCAGAAGTTATCGTGAGCAACTGTTACCTGCTTTCGAAGTTTCTCAGGAATGAAATGGCAATGTTCAAAGTGTCATTTTCCCCATTATATTTTTTTGTTCTATCTCCTTTATAATAAATTTTAAATGGTTGAAGTATATTTTCTTTGATAATTCATTACTCTTACTTGAATGCACTGCTGTAGTATTATTAGTAGTCACTATCAGTTATTTAAAGTTTGCAATATTTTTTATCCAAAATAAAACTGAATAAAGTGCATAAATATGAGTATTACAAAAGGATGACAAGGAGATGAGTACTAGTATACCGGTTCCGAAAATCACTTATAATTACCCTATAATATAATTTTTTTTTAAAAATATTTCTCCACATAAAATATATTGAATAAAAGAAAACCTCCGCGACAAGCATTGATAAAAATGAAGGTAGGAGAGACAGGCGAGAGGGTTTTCCGGATTTAATACTAACTGAAATGATGTATTTTTGAAAGAGCGAAGAGGTAGGCTGAAAGACTAATTTAATCCTTCAATAAGTTGAAAGATGTACGTCGGCCATTTCAAGAAACGCCAAAAGAACAATTCTAAAGAGTACTGGAATTTATCACATTGTGTTTAATTTTGACGAAGTTGAGAGATCAATGAGAAGAAGAGATCAAACTTACTGTCTCCTCTTGAAAGACTTATGATGCTCGAAATTTATGGGTGGGCTGCTTACTTTCTTACCTTTCCTCATTCTGATGAACTGATCTATAACTTGTAAGTTGCAGATCAGAAAACAGCCAAAATAGTCAGCAATGTAAGAAAGATTTCAAGAAAACAAATTATCTAAATTCACCACACTATGGCCAGTGTCATTCAACCTGATCTTCGTCTTCGAAATCTTCATCTTCCAGCTCTACTTCATCATCCTTATCTTCTGTTTCTTCTTCATTATTCACCTCATCCTCTACATTACTACCTATTGTCTTATCATTTCTTGAAACTTTCTGGGGATCATCTTCATTACTTGAACTGCCTAAACCACTTGATACATCTCCTTTATCATTCTCCGACTGCTCATCAACCTGTCCCTCCTCATCCCCTTCTTGCTCATCCTCTTCTTCATCATTATTAGCGTCGTATTTCTCAGACATTTCACCTTCGCTCGTACCCTCTTCTTCATCTTCCTCATCTTCCCCTTCATCATCGTCCACATCCTCCTAAAATCAATTTTTTATTTTGCAAATAATGGGAAAACCGAATCGATAGCACCACAAGCAGAAATATCTTCCTTGCAACAGTAAAATATTATGCAACTCGAACGTGGCTCTCATTCAAAGAAAAGTTTTTTGTTTAAATGAAGCAAATTTTCTTAACCCATTGCGACTGAAATGCACTGGAAACCTAATCTAATTCAACTTGTTGCAAGCATAAAACTCGTTCGTTTGGCTGAAAAAGTTCGCAACCTATGACATTCTCCCCTTGTTTCCGGTCTATTTGGCAATCGCATTTACTGAATCTTCAATCCGGCAGTCTCAAATCGTCTCTCAACTACTGAATATTGAAATAAATGCAGTGAACGCTCAACTGTATATAAGAAAAAAGAAATCTGAATTTCGAATTTTTTAAAGCATGCCATGAAGCGCCCCGAATAAAAAAAAAACTAATATAAGCGGAAGTTTGGTGGCATGCTTGGTATTTTGAAACAAGAGAAGGTCACTTTCACAAAATTTCATGCTTGAAACAAAGCGGCCCTGATTTGCTTCAAGCTCTTATATTTCTCTGTGCTGCGGAATAGCCATGAAAGCGGATGTTGTTACGTGAGGTGCACAAGACAGAGACAAAGGGTAATTATACTTACCTTATAAATGATTCACTTTTTTTGCTAAAAAAATATTTCACAATTTTAAATCTTTTGACTATCACAAATACCTTATTCTATCATAAAATATCACTTATATTTCAAATGATGATATGAAGCCTTTTCGTCCCTTTTTTACACTTCTCTAATTTTCACCTCATCATTTTGCATGAAATATGAAAAATAACTAACTGATATAACATGTTATGCACAACAGATTTCGAAACTGCACAACGTTAGTTTTTTTTTTTTTTTTTGATTATTTTGGCTTAGTGAGTAAAACTGTGAGAAAGAAAAAAGATGCAGAGATAGATAGCAATACCCTTTTATATCAATATCACTTTTTATATCAAAACTTCGAAAAAAGTTTTGGAAATCAAGAAAAGTTTTAATTGTTTAGCAGTAGAACTTACCGCTGATGAAGGTATCAAACGAAGAAATTCTGGTAACTGATTATCTTCGACTGCTTCTTCAAAATCCATATAATTCTGCAAATTTTAATAGCTGGATCAGCATAAATAAATTTCTCTTAATGAAAGATGTCACTTGTTAGCAATGAGTAATTTTACTTTATAATAAGATCATGCTGTATCAATCACTAAGATACTGTCCAAGCAATATCTTCTTGCTCAGTTGTTCTCTTTTTCATCCTCTTTTCCTTTTCCTTTTAGTACATCTCTAAATTCTTTAATGTTAAGACTTACTCCCAAATATTCGTCATCAGCGAAAAACTGAGGCGGCAAAGGAATTCCATCGCAGCGCTCATTTAGAGCGTTTTGACGCATGAAATCTCGATATTGTTCGTTACCCCGTAATGTTATATCAATCGCTTTAAAAGGAACACCTAATCCATCAAGTACCATTAAAACTTTCTGCACCTGTTTGCGCACCTGAAAATGTTTGAGCAAGTCAGTTCTCATCTTAATCACATTGTAACTTCGAGATTAATGTCGCTTATAATAAATTTAATAATTAATATTACTTAAGCATTGAAAAAACTAATCTGGAGAAATTTGTTGAACCACACCTACTGATAAAGTTCAAAACAAATAGGGAAGTTTGGATCCAAACAACCTCTAACACGAAACCTAACCTACTTCAAGCATGACTCACCTCATTTATTTTATGCTAAGAAATTGTAAAGAGTGGAAGTAATCCTTTTTATTAATTTTTTTATCTAATCTCTGTTCAACGTCTCATTAAGAATCATCTAGCAATTACTCTCACGACAGTTTATTTAACAGTTATTTAACACTCTTCAATTTCTTCTTTCCTTGATTTCATACCAATTTATGTCTAACAATTTTTATGTTCTCATTGTTCTATCCAAGCATTTGCGAAAAAAGTGGAATGAAAGAAATTTCTTCCTCTCTGTGACTATGACAAAAACATACATTTTTACATTGAAACTATATTTTAGATGACGAGAACTGTCACACTTTCTTAAATTTAGGACAGCAACAACGATAATTTCTAAAAAAGATTAGAAACACTTGGTTAATAGCCCAGCAAATGCCATATAATATAATAAGACATTTTTTTTTAAAAAGTGAAACTTCACATAGAAACAGAATTTGCAGATGACTTGAAGATCTCACATTGTTATTGCTCCTTCATTAATATTGTTCAAAAAATATTCGAAAAACCGGTAGGTTGTAACTAATAAATTATTCGCATTTTTTTTTCCTTATTCAAAAAACTTCGTTCTCTTCGCTATACGAATGTCAGAACGAAACAAAAGCACTATAAAGGCTAAAAAAGCTGCTCAACAACTTAATCAACAAAAGTGCAGAAGAAGAGGAACTAGAAACATTAACTGAAAGAATCATATCATTGGTGACGAGAATAATGCAATCTGTTTTAAATGAATGAATTTACAAGAAATTATTTTGATTTGGATCAAAACTAGTTTGAAATATTGCGACATTATCTTTGCAATATTATTGGTAATAAATGATGCAATTTGAACGGAATCTTTGAACTGATTGTACATTAGGCAGTTTGAAATTATCAATTTTTACATGTTCATTCTATGGAGAGTCAAGTTCAATTAATGAGAATAAAATCTGAGAAACTAGATTCAATTCGAAATTTTGATCAGCTAAAATGCTCGAAGGAAATTTGTGTGTTTAGTAATTTCGATATAATTCATTTTCAAATAGCATATTCATAATTGAATTTCAAAACTGTAAATTCCCAAAAAAAAAAAAAAAAAACTCTCGGATTTCAAGTGGTGTTCCAAAATAAACAGATAATATAGTCTAAAACCAGTTTTTAGCTATGATCAGTTAAAGTTCATTATAAATTCTCTCACCATCAAATTCAAAAAGTTGCTCGAGGAATTCATTTTTTCAGCTGATCATTCCATATTTCGTCAGAGAAAGTATGTTTTTGAAGATTAAGATTGTGAAGTTTAACTCGTAAAAATCCGATATTTCTTCTTCTAGTAAAAACAATTTTTTGTAAATTTATCTTTTAAATTTATAAAAACAATTTGTAAATTTAGTGAAGTAATGTAATTTGATTGAAATATTAGAAATAAGTCAGCAAAATCAAATTTTAGTAAGTTTCCCAAACTACAGAATACTTTCCAACCGCATCCATCATCTCGCAGCAATAATTTTTACTTTGCATAACTTCTTCCTTATCAGATAATTTTATCTTTTCAAAACAATTACGCTGAATCCAGGCTTCTTGAAGAAAAGAAAGAAGAGAAGAAATATCCAATTCTAACTCGTATCTATCATCTATCAGCTAACCCAATTTTTTATGAGAAAATTTGAATTAAAATGCAATGTAATATGATGGATAAATACATTGGAAATACTTCAATCTTTAGTTTTCAGAATTTATCATTCTTGTCACCAAAATACTGAATAATTCCTTTATATTAAGTGCTCAAAATGATCGAATAAATTTCATTTTATTATCTATAAATAATAACCTTTTATATGTTAACTCAAATTGAAATAAAAATAAGATCAAATTGCTAAATAAATGGGACTAAAATTCTCCTCTTCGTGTATTGAACTTTTTCATAGCATATAATAAAAACTGTCCTCACCATTATGATAGATCCTTCCACCATTGCGATTACTTACAACTTCAACGAATATATCCTTGATTTTGATAAAGACACAAGAATTTATCTCATAGATTATCGACATATTTCGACTAAAAATTCTAATTTGGTCGAAAAACAGTCACACTTTATTTTGCCTAATTTTAATGAAACTTCCAGAAAAAAAATGCAAAAATTTGACAAAGATAACGAAACGAAACAAAGCGAAACTCTGAGATTATATTTAGGAAAAAGTGCAGCAGTCCCATAATGGGAAAGTAATGTTTACTTTCTTGTTGTTCGATCACGGTTATTTTTCATTAGACAAAATTGAAGAAATTTATAAAGAATATAAAATTACAGATCTGTAGTACATGATAACAGTACTCGACATTTTCAAGCACACACATAAGGATTCAAGCATTGTTTTCTAAGTTTTTACGTAAGCATTTTAGTTAGCTAATAAAACTAGCATGATATAAAAATTTAAACTGGTTCATCTACAACATGAAATAAAAAAATCACCCTAACAAAATTGCGTGTGAATGTATTTATAATTAAGCGCTGAAATGACAGTTACTAAAACTGAATGCCTACATTTCACGAATTCATTCATTAAATTAAGATCCACAACTCTAACTTGTAAATTTAAGCTCTCAAAAGATTTTCTTAATCATTTGCCTTGTTCATATAAGAAACATTTTTTTTGATTAACCAATACATGCTTTTTCAAAAAATTTGTAGTCAAAAATATATCAATAGAAATCACAGTTTAGTTATAACTGATCAAAGATGATTGTTCGTTTATATAGGTCACTTCGATAAAACAGAAAATTTCAATCCTGACAAACTAATCCCTAAAAACTTAGAAGATAAGATCTCATGAGCAACTAGAAAATCTTACTTGTTATTAATTAAGGCTGAATAGGCAGGACATGAGAATTGCACCACTTGAAATCTTTGTTGGAATTTTGAATAAACATAAATACTCTGTCTATCTAGATGGTGGGGAAATTATTCATAGCTTTACAATATTAAATTATAATGACAGTTTAATTTTAAAATTTGTGAATCCATGACACCTGGAATTTTTCCATTATCTATTAGAAAATATTACGTGGAACGCGTTTTTTGAGTAACGATCAGTTCAAGATCTTTTCAGTGTTAGTTATTGCATTTGAGCTCATTTCATAGTAGTACCAAACAAAATTAAAATATCTGAGCTAGTACCTTTCTGAGGTATGACCAGTGAACTTCGATACCATCGCAGAGACCTCTCTCTCTCTCAAAAAAAGAAGCTTACCTCGGTATTGGCCGTGATAGAAGCGATGTAAACGTTAAGCGTCATGCCGAGAACATCGAGGATATTGAGATTTTGTGTTCAGTTGGAGAATGATGACAGATGGATGGGTCCTTGCAAAAACTCTTCGATGCCTATCTTCTTTCCCACTAGCAATTTTACTTGTCCACAAGTTGAATGAGAGTGTCTGCTATAGTTTCTTCTGAAGCTTCTCTCAGAAAGTATCGAGACAAACAGACGAACTTGTTTATAATAGAAAATTCACTAATAAACGGACATAGACACACTCATAAATCAAGAAACGTACGGACGAAGGCATAGATAAAATGAGAAACATGCGGACAGACATGAATTAATGGGAGAAATTTAAAGTCGTATAAAGTCTAAATGACACTTTTGTTTGTATAACAAAACGATGGAATAATGCGAACAAGCGGTACTCTCATCGCACACAAATTCAACTACAACTGAAAAACTTTTATTCCTCTTCGCATGTATGTATGTATGTGCGTGTGTGTATGTATGTATATACGTGAGTGTATGCATCTATATGTACACTGATTATTGAATAACTTAGTCTCAGTAAGCTCTTCCACAAACTACTACAAGTAAGCATCACACCTAACGATACTGTACAGAATTGAAAATCTTGAAGTGATACCAGACAGGACTCTTTGACTCTACAGACCGACATGCATCCCACGATGATGGATGATGGGTCATCGTCCATACCCTACCTCTATTTTGCCCTCATATGGACAGTTTTTTATCAACCGCATTTCTTCCCTATCCTCACATTTCATTTCATTAATCTGAATTAACATAATAGTTGAACTCTTCCAGTTTCAGACAGAAATAGACTGATAGAAAGATTCAAGAAATCCAGTACACATAAGAAAATTTACTAAGCATGCTGTTTTTTTTGTTATATTTGTGCACAGTGGCTAAACATGAAGAACAATATTATCACCAGTAATTCATTTGCAGCAATAACAGCTTTCTCCCTATAAAATGTTTGCTCAGATTACTTCAGCATATGTTATCAAAAATCAGTATATTTCTTTATCACATCCTCACTTCAATCTGAGTTAATATGATCTTCATTCAGCACAAAGGATAAGATTTAAAAACATTGCTCGGAAACAGGAAATGAATTTGACAATGTGTTCCAAACTCAAATGGTTCCCACTTGAAATTATTTCAAGATAATCCTATATTTTTTTTGGATAGCTATTTTCGAAATGCACAGCAATTAATAACACTCCCACCAAAAAATCGGAAATATTTCTAATAATATTCTGCATAACGTTCAACTTTTGAACCTTACTTTCTTACTTTTATCAATACAGGCATAACTATCACCAGTTATCATAGTGATCATAATAACAAACACCATTATTTCTGAATAGTAATTCATCCAGCAAACAACAACAATAACTATAAATAAACTGCAAAAACCATTCGCACAAAACATACTTTTGAAGATGAGTAGCTCTACAGTTGTTGTTGATAAGTAAAAGCATAAAAAGAATAGCGCCCCAGTAACAGTTCTAACCGATGTGAATGGTAAAGTGAAAATAACTGTATAAAAAGACATTATATACTACAAATCATAGCATCAGCTACCATTTATTTCCTTTCGTAAATATGCCTATTCCATAATACTGTTGGCACTTAGCTTTATTTATAACTATATTTATTAAAAGCTCACAAATTAAATATTACAAATCACCAGCATTCAACGAATCAGCTGATTGGATTGCTCCATAGAACTCTATATCGACTGAATCCGGAATTCTCCTTTATCAAATTATCATGCTGCCAAAACGGCATATATCTCTTATGCTCAACGTAGTCAATGTCAGGGTATTTAGGTTGTTCCGGACTTTTATCTGTCTTTCGCATTTGCAAACGCTTTTTCAATAAATCCGCATGGATCTCCTTTGGATTTCGAAACTGATCCAAATATCTGTAATCCAAAAACAAAAATCCAAAATATTCATGCTTACAAATAGAAACTTCCAAGTTAAAGAAATAGTAAGTTAATCTATGTAAAACATACAAATTAAATGGCTGCGGCTTTAGTGGGAATTCTTTCTGATCCATTTTCACTGGAGGATAATATTGATATTCATAAATTGGCGACTTCATCCCTAAAAGATATTGGCAGAATAAAACCACCTGACATAACCTATCCTTTCCGTAGGGCAGTAGTTACCGGTAAGTATACGTATGAAACGCGAAGGATTTGAAATTGCAAACTACATTACCGGGGTCACTTAGCGATGATCGCAAGGGGATGCAAAAAATTGAAAATCAGGACAGGAACACCACCAAATAATGTTTGACAATAAATATCAGTGATTGCAAATTCTAAATTATAGAAGTATTCCTAAACATCGCAAAGAAAGTTTGAAACTGTAATAAACCAATTTTGTGAAGCGCTTCGTTAACAGAAGCATCCCATGAAGCTTGAGCAAATGAAAGACCGGAAGGGGTCCACTGTTTCTCGAATTCTTTATAGAGCTGACCAACATTGAAAATTCGATCTATCAGTGCTGGACTAAAAGTCAAAACAAAAAACAAACTATCGCAATAACATCCAAAAGTCAATATTACCAAACTAAAATTATGCTTATCTTATTATTTTATTCACTTTGTTACTGCAAGTCTTGCTTCAACTTAGTTATGATTGACTATAGAAAGTTCGTTTTCTTATTATTAAAATAATATGTGGTTGCTGAAAATTTCTTAAATCTACTACCTGCTTGGTTTTCTCGAAGTTAAATTAATAATTTCATTATGTCGCAATAACAAACAAGCAATTCTGTGATAACCAGTTCCTCTGAATGGCACCACTTGAAAATATGGAACTATTTCTGTTCCATCACGTACAGATTTGCCATCTGGTATATTAGCTACCAACCAGTGGACAACTTCGCCACCACAACTATATGGGTTTCCATCAAGATTCAATAATACGAATGAACTGAATCCGCCATTTAATGATTGAATCCATATATCTGGTTTATTACCTAAATAATGATAATGAAACATGAAGCACAAAACAGAAATAGACCAATCGACTGCACAAACTTATATTAAATACGAATTAAAGCTTGAAAATTTAGTTTCAACATTTCCAGATAATCAAAAAGTTTATATCGGTTAAATTATCCAAAACAGTATTTATGAACATCTATTCAATTTTGAAATATAGGTAAGCACTTGTATCAGCGGCATCGATCAAATTTCCTTGATATAGACCAGTACTACCCCATTTAAGCTGCATATTTTGCGTATTGTGGAAAAAGACGTTTGTGTGAAAAATATCATCAAATATGCGATAGTGATGAAAAATACTCAACTGCCAATGCTCAACCTTCTTTAAATTTATTGTTACTGCAATGCAAAGAATTATTACTGATGAATTAATTATGCTTAGTTATTAATTATAAATAGTAACTTCAGTAAACAATCAACTGCCGATGATTTAGTATGGATTTCTGTGCTACATCCATCATTTCTAATATAAAAAAATTGTGCAACGTCAATTTTACCAATCTTATGAAAAATACTCAAACTAAAAGAAAAAAAAATCATGAAAACACGGAATGTCTGTCAAAATTGCCCGAAAAAGAACATGAGAAATTAGTTTTTTATTTTCTACAACATTGAAAACACAAAAGTGGGACTTACAATGCATTTTCCTGGATAACTTTGGAACATTTTTCGACTCCGATGGTTGCAGTGATATTGGTAACACACTCTTTTTCTTGAAACCAATATCGTATCTTTCTGTTTCTGGTACTGTAACAACAAAGTTATTAAAATTCTGACACTAATACAATTCCAATTCCCAGTTTTTTCAGAAAAGTTCTATCTTTATCAAAGAGATGTTCAAAAAAAAGAAAGGACCTTAGTCGAACTCCAAAAACTAGACGAATAAAAAAAAAAAACCTGCTAAACGTTCTTTCAGCGATAATAAATGATTATCTACATCAATGACATGCATTTTCGGATAAAGTACTGGCTTTGCTATTCGTGCTTTATACCAAGCATTCGGTTCATAAAATCTAAAAGGAAAATTTTGAGAAATATCACCCACATATCTCATAGAATAACTGAATAATCAATTCATATCCTTAATTTTCGTACAATGAAAAACTCAGATGTACATGTAATAAGATAAATCCCACAGAATAAAATAAAACAACTTTCATCGGCGAAAAGCTTTCACATTCTCTGAGAGATTGCATCTTGATCCATCTGTCGGAAGATTCCACAACATATGACAGTTTTGCGGAACAAATTTCTACTGATTGTCTAATTAAAAAGTCAAAATTCGTAGAAATAAGTTGTTCTAAAATACAAACCTATTACGATAAAATGCAGCTGGACCAGCCCACGAAATAACTTTAGGTCTCCATGGTCGAGCAACACGCGGTGTACCCCTAATGCGATGAGCATCTTTCACATAAATGTCTGCATAAACAGAACGGAATGCTCGCTTCATTGAACTAGAATTCTATACGTCCCTAAAAAAAAACCTTTTTAGCCTAATGAACTCCAAAAATCAAAGTAATCCTTCCACTTCACATGCGATCTCGAAACATAGTAAACAGACACTAGTTCAGTCTATGGCCGCATTAAATTCGTCCGTCCTCCTCACAGCACTCATTTCGAGTGTCGTACAATTAGAGAGCTCTTTTGTGGCTAGTTTGTTTGCATATAAGCTCACTTCAGGTTTGCGGAAGAGTTCAGCACTGGGATGCAAGAGTTGAAATCATTTGATAACATAGAGTTATGGCAAGGAGCTTTGGAGAAACATTGTCTTTTTGCTTGCAGATATATTTTATGTTCGTATGGCTATCTATTATTCATTTTGTGTGTTGAAGTTCAAGTGTTATTCCAGTCGCCTTGATATTACGGCGTGGTTCAGATTGCTATCAAACATTAGGTAATATTTGTCGGATTGTTTGACGCTTTATTTATAGTCGTTGTCTAAAAGTGGTTATAACAGATAAACTTTGCAGGCAGTCATTTGTCATACTTTTATGCAAGTAATGTCAAAGTGCCCTATTATGGATAAAGTAAGCGATGTACAGCGATTTGGCGGACATCGAAAGAGATGAAGAATTGGCGAGAAACGCTGGATGATAGAGAAGCTGTTAAGTGTCTGATTAATGGACCTGGAAGCAGTAATATGCGCCAGGATAAAAACTGTAGCATACGATCGCTATGCATGCATGATATGGATACTGTGAAAACAATTTGCCTCGAATCTTTTCCCATACAGTATCCGGACTGCTGGTTTGAAGAAGTACTAAATGGTAAATTGATTAGTTTTGGAATCACCTATGAAGGTGCACTTGCTGCTATTCTTGTCGCTGAGCTCAAAATCTTGTCTCAGTGCAATGCTGAGGTTTGCTTTTTCTTTTTTTTTTACTCTCTCTTTACAAATTTGATGAATGTATACATTATACTCGCATGGCCGGATGAAGTAGAAAATATTCGAAAAAACTTTAAACCAGCAAGAAACGTTTATAAGGACAGGTCTTCAGAATGTAGCGTCAGAGAATCCGATAGTATGGAATGTGTGAGTGGATAACAACTAATTTAAGTATTTTTAGGACCGTGATCTTTTATCGGGTAACTGTTTACCAGTGGTGTATATATTAAGCGTAGCTGTACGCCCACCTTATCGCCGACGTGGTTTCGCTTCACGTCTGCTTGATCATCTTATGTTTATGGTAGTGCAGCGGCCACCATATCCAAAAGCTGTTTATTTACATGTATTAGCAACAAATTATGGTGCCATAAATTTCTACAAAAAACGTGGTTTTTGCCATCACACTACACTCTTGTAAGTTTCATTTTTTTTCTCATTTTATAAAACAGTGATCCAATAATCTTATTATTGAATTAAAAGATAACTGACAAGTTTTTTATTAACTGCTATAGACATTATTTATAAAGCATTATGTACTTACGATTACATAAACATGATGGTTTGCACCACAAACTTTTCTATTTTTAAAGGCTGCTAATATCTCAGGATAATTCGATTACTCAGATAATCTTGTTATATAGTACTTGATGTGATTGTACACTTAACGCATTTTTTAAGAGGAAGGAGTAATGATTTAGTCATATTCATCTTATTTGTACAGTCACTATTTTTAAAAACAATATTACTGGTACTGAACTCTACTGACTCAATTTGGCTCTCTCAGCAATTATACGGTAATGTAATCTACGTCATTGCTTTTCTGATATCAGAATTTCTAATCAGTCACTACAACGCTTACGCGTGTGTGATTAAAGTCAAACTGTCCTTATGAGAAAATTTCATGAGGTCGTCCATCAATTCATTTCATTTAATCCTACGATTAGCTAAACGCGGTCATTTTCAGATTGTTTACATGCCGATTAGGATGTGATGATTTTGTTTGTAATATCGGAAAAAAGTAATAGCTGGGAATTCATTACAGGAACTACTACCGCATTAATGATACATTCGGTGATGGCCTAACATTTGTGCTTTATGCCAATGGCGCATGCGCACCATGGTCCGTTTATGAACTCTGTTCATTATTTTCTACAGTTCTTTGCTTCCCACTAAGGATTATTCTCAAAATGAAGTACATCTTGCGTCTGTAACAAAAAATTATTGCGTAACAAATCTTAATTTACGCATTTGTAGTTTGTGAATATATTATGGTCTATATAAAATTTATGGCTTTTAAGAGAATTGATCATTTCTTTAGAAATTTCAGGAATTTTCATTTGTCATGATTTTTGGAAAAAGTGCTAAAATAGCTTTGCCTGCTAAAATTTTGTAAATACCCTACTTATTTTTTCCTTATTATAAACTTTACATGAAACAATTTATAACAATTATACATTTACAATTAGATACATTCACTGATTCTGGTCTTTGCATCATTATTCTTTGTTCTTCACCAAAGTTGCTTTACACAAAACAAAATAAAATACCATACCAATTCTGATGATGTAGGTAGACAAATGTTTTAGGCAAATGTTTACATGTTCCCATTCGAAGTTGTCGAATTTGCTTGCAGTGCAACATTTATTTTTCACATAATTGTGTATTTATGTAATTTATCTAGTTGTTAAAAGGGTTCAAAATTTAGCGAAATGTGAGCATGTCGATACTCCAGGTTGAAATTTTTCTTTTTACATGTATGGTGTTATATGTCTGCTCATGGTGACGAGGGCTGCATAATTAACAGGTTCACACATTCGGCTTCGAGAATAGTGAACTATGTGTCGCATCATGTTTGATGTATTCATCATTTGAAGTTTCATTGGCGTGTTATGAATTCACGAATTTTTTGAATTATTTTAAAATGTACTGAATGTGAAGAGTTATTTACCAGAGGTTTATCCTTTATAAAATTTGCTCGTGTTCGTTATTCTTATATGTTTTTGAAGGTCGTGTTGAGGAATTGAGGATGCACATTTTTCTTTCTTTTTCTCAAATTCAAAGAAGAAAGATGATATTTTGAGTTTTTTTTCTTTGTCATCAACAAACATTAAGAAATGGAATCTTTCTTAATTTTGTCAAACTATTTCACCTCAACTTATTCAACTTAAAAAAAGTATCTTGATTTTTAAATTCGGAAAATTCGAGCATTTGCTTAGGGTAGGTCGTGGTGATATTTTAAATTCATTGTATGGAAGATGGCCATGACGCTTTTAACACATTGCTTCATTCTGATTACTTAGCTTTAGGATTTTAGTACTGTGTTATAGTACTTGCTTCCCAAGCGTACTTCATTTTCAACGTTTTTCCGTTTATATTTGAGTGAGTGTGAAGTAAATGGTCTTAAAGAAAAGATTTTATTTGAAAATTGATTTAACAATGTCATTCACTTTTCAGTAAACTATTTGACGTTATTCAAGTCAAAACTCTTTCTTTAGTGTGTTCCGTGTTGGCAGTAGGCACGGTGGTGAGTTTTTAATTGTTGATAAATAGAATAAAAAATATGTTTGAGCGCGAAGTACTTGCAAATTGAAATAACAAAAGTAAGATAGGTGTTCTTCGAACGAATAACTAGTAACTACTGGCATACATTGCAAAAAAACAAGATCTTTTGAGGAGTAAGCGATTTGTAAGACTACTCTTTTGAGAAAAACTATATCGGTTCTAAAGATCTAGCAGATACTGCTGATCAGGCGTATGAACAGCACTCCCTAGATAGAAGCGGTGATAACAGTGTTGATGTTACTTATTATTGGTCAGGTATGATTATGACAGTTTTAGCAGTCCACAATGATGATGTATTCTTTGTGTATTTTAGTAGGACATTTTGATGGTATCGGATTCAAATGTTGTTCCTTATGGTATCGGATTCAAAATGATGACAATTTCATTTGGTTATCTTTATTCATTTCTAATAACGGTAGATATCTCGAATTTATTTTCTATCAACATCGTCTTTGTGACTGCTATTATTGTCAGTCCTACTGTCGTTGTTTTCTTTCTGCTTTTGTGATCTTCAGAAAAGTTTGGGGTGCGAGTTCCTTATTTTTTCTCATGGATGTGTTCCGTCCCGCGTCCACTTATTCCATTCTTCAATTTATTTTACAGATTTCCTTCCTGTATTACAATGCATTTTGCAGTCTCCTGCCTCGAAGATTATGTGTATGTATCTACATATAATTGTATGTTAACTAGCATATATATAGCTCGTCAGCAAGAAGTCGGATGGTATAAATGTAGTAATAAAATCGTCCTCTTGCATGTCGGACTGAGTTAGGTTTCGAAAGATAGTACTTGTGCAAATGGCACTGTATAGGAAGGAAATGTGTAGAATAAATTGAAGAATGGAATAAGTGGATGCGGGACGGATCACATTCATGAAAAAAGTAAGAAACTCGCACTCCAAACTTAATTGTGTGTGGTAATTGTGTTGTTGATAAAATGGTTGAAACGATGAAGTTGAAAGCAAATATGATATCATTATAATAACTAAATAGTGATCATTTAACAGGCATTTGATCTCATGGTTCATTGCTGTTTTTTTTTTTAATTTCAGTAATCAGTAGTTAAGCATAGCTCTACCAAATATGCATTTCCCGCTGTGTAAAGAACTAATTATTTGCAAATAAAGTCTGTCAATTGTTGCGTGTTTTAAAAAAGTATTGATTTGTTCCGGATACGTATATTTCACCAATGCCTTACTCAGGTCCGTATTAAATTTTAAAAATGCCTATTGAATTTTGAAAATTTCTAAAATTTAAGTTACAGATATGGACGGAAATATATTTGAACAACCACTGACAGCCGAATCATTGCAACAAATTTTAACCTTTTTCAAGAAAAATGGTTTAACGGTGCATTTTTTTTCTTGTGTGATAATTGTGGTGTTGATAAGAGCATTGGAACAAAATTATAATGACGTAGTAATAACTAAGTAGTGGTGATTTGAAAATATTAGAAATGTTGTGCTACAAAGCAGATGTACAAAGTAGCGGCGTCAAAAGAATTGCTAATAGCTTATCCTTATTTGTGCATAATCATAATAAATTATTTTAAGGAATCCGAAGAAGCATTGTCGAGAGAAGCTGCAACCGTTTTGCGTCTTTCGAAAGATGGTGTCGATGGCGATACTAACAAGTATGTTTTGTTTTTTTCTATTGATCAGATTTTTATTAACCATTAATTAGGATAAAATTCGCCGTTGTTCTGTGAAACTCTAAAAATGCGTTTGAACATTATCGAAACACTGCTGACTATCGTATATCGCTATATCGCTTCGGAAAGATCAAGCGAGCTTAGAGCACATTGTTGTTTATCAGCAAACATTTTGTTAAAGTTAACGGATTTTTAGTGACTCTATCATGCGCGAATTTTCGACGCTTCTCAGTCATATTGATTCTTCTTTTGATAATTTCCGAGCAGAACTATCCGCTTTAATATTTCCGGTATTTGCGCATTTATATATACAGCTTATTGCCGAGGGTCGTAGTTTACAAGGTTTGCATCGTCTTACTATTATTTCGCAACTGTACCTTTTTCTTTTCAAATTTCATGTATCTTTTTCTATATTTATATTTTTATCAAGCTGAAAATCTACAACAGTTTTATTGTTTCAGCGGCTTTATTCGGAGAAAAATTTTCTCGATATGTACCTTCAATGTATGAGGAACAGACAAAATTGCTTACCCGCATTTCTACTCATAGCCAAGCTGTTAATCATGCATTGGTTCAAGCTCTCACGTAACTATAATTTTTCTCAATGAAGATAAATGATTATATTTTTTGAAAAATTTTAAAATTTGAAAGTGAAACTTTACTTCCGGAAGGCAGTAATTTTCTAATTTAACTTGCTCGCTTTCATAAACTTGAACCACTCATCACTCATTTTGAAGGAAGAATCAGTTTGTTGTTCGCATATCAAAATCAGCAATCAAACAGCTGGAACCTTTTTTAACCCGAAATAGTACTGTTCGAGATGTGATGCGAGATCATTTGCATATTGAAGGTAGGTTTTCATTGTTCAACATTCTATGGATTTCAATTTTTCATTAATATTCTGCATTCTCTTTTAGTCCGTTTTAGACATGAAAATCCTGACAGCTATGATGTATTTAGACGAAGATGAAAAGGTGGCTTTTTTGCTTCATTTAGCAATTAAAATTTACTTTGTTTAACAATTAAATATTCTACAGTTCTTGAATAAAACGACTTCACTGAAAAAGTGTCTGTTTGGTATTCATTAGTGGGGATAAAGGAATCTGAAGATTTTCCTGAATTTAGAATTATACTGAATATATTTAGCAATTGATGGTTCGCGAACAAAATCTGCTACTGAAGCTAGCCTGGGAGGTATTCTTGGTCAAGTCAGCAAGCAAGGTAGTTTCAAATTACCATCTAAATTTCCATCTGCTTGCAAAAAATTAGAAATTTTAGCATATGGAAACACTCATTTCACACGAGTAACTTCCTCATTAAGTGATCTACTAGTCATTTGTTTTCTTTTTTGCTAAAATCTGTTCTTTCACTTCGCAAATATTTTGAACAACTCATTTGATTTGATTTTGATCCATTTGAACCCAATTAATTTTTAGAAAGACGACACAAAATGTTTTATGGAACAATAAAAGAAGATTTCTCAACACAACTGGGCCTCGAAAAGAAACGACCTAAAATTAAAGAAAGAAATGATAACAAAAAAAAGGACGCAAATGGACCTTCACCTGATCGAATACCTCTGCCAACAGCGTTAATCTTTTTGCTTTTCTTCCTTTTCAGAATATTATTTTTTTCTCTTTATATAAGTTTTGGGAATCCAAATCGTTTACAGCAGTGAAAAGAGATATATGAAAGAATCGGGTAAAAAAATGCGCATTTCTGTTGACACACCGCCATCTGTATGCCTTTACACCGTGCTCAACTCTCCTGGTGGTCTTACAGCATCTGATGTTGCTGAAGACAGTGAAGCTTTGGCATTGGGTTTTGGAAATTCCAGAATACAGGTATACTCACATTGATCTTCAGTAAATTTTAACGATAGTTTCTCAATATGTTTCTTTTACAAAATGTTTTCATTCCTGTCTTTATGTAGGCTTATTGCTTCTAATTTATTTTCCAGTAAATCTTTCAGTTGTAATACAGTTGTTGCAGATGAGAA